CAAAATCATATATATATATATATATATATATATATATATATATATATAATATTTCATGAAAATATGTTGATAATGGTTCAATTTTTCATTATTCAAAATAAGTTTCTAAATATTTTGTTTCTATGTTTATTATATATTACAAAATCTTCGAAAGAAATATATATATATATGTTTTAAAACAGAACAATAAATGGAGAATGGTTTGATTTCTCTTGTATTAAAAATAAACAATTACAAAATTTGGCTATCAGAAGGCGATAACGGCGTCGGCGGCGAAAGGGAGAGGGTAAGGGAGGCAGACGAGGAGGGCGAGGAGCAAAACCCCGACGCCCAAGGCCACGGAGCGGGGACGAGGGTCGGTGATCTCTTCCTCTAGCGGAGCGATGGGACCTCTCTGCAGAAAGAATATCAGAAACACCCAGTAGAACGCCACGTCGTTGAACAGCGACGCCAGCCCCAGCACCACTATGCTCAGCCCCGTCAGCCTCGTCGACGTCTGCGCCAAAACCAATCCCGAACTCAATCTCGCATTTTGGTTCGGGTTCATTTCGGTTATTGCTATCCGATTTTTATTTTTATGTTAGAATTCGGTTCCATTATATTGTCCTTTGAGTTCCGATATTATTCACAAAAATACCCATTTGTTTAAAAATATTTGTACCAATCTGACTGAACCCGAATTCGATATAAAAATCGAATGGTTATATTTTCTCTGAAAACGAAATCCGAAATGACCGTCCCGGCTACTCGTAGAGAGGAAATTACCTTTCTACCCCAAATGGAGAAGGCGATTCTGCCGCCGTCGAGCTCTCCGGCAGGAATGCTGTTAATGGCGTTCCCATATCACCAGTGGGTTTACGGATATCGGACTTCCCTCTTTCAGCACATCCCCTAGCAGCACCTTCGCTGTAAAAAAACCGAAAGCTAAAATGGATAAAGAAGAAGAAGAAGAAGAGGCCTCCTCAAGATCATTACCATAGATTCGAGCTCGGGATTTTACCGATGCCTCCGACGAGTAAAGATTCGTGGAACACAGAGGGATCGACCACGACACCAAGGCCGTCGGCAGGGGGGATGATGAAGCCTAGAAGGAACAGAGCCAGACCCAAAGAAAATCCGGCCAAAGGTCCTGCTGCTGCCACCTTTAGCAGATCTTCTCTCTTGGGCACGATGTTTCTTATTCTCGTTATCGCACCAAACGAGCCTATCTGCCATCCCGAACGAGTAAAGACGGTGGTAGACGTAACAAAAGAAAGAAAAAGCTAAACTTTTACGGTCAATACAATTGGAAGCAGTATTCTAACCATTCGATTTTTATATCTCAACCCGAATATAAACAACAGAAAAACGGGAAACCGATAATCCCCCGCATTGCAGCAACTTACTTGCCAACTAGGAACAAAGTATGGAACACCGAGCTTTATCCCCGCATTGTTCGCAACCAAAACGTGGGCAAGTTCGTGTGCTCCGAGGATGAGAGCGGTGACCAGGGCTCCAGATAAGCCTTCAGATAAGAGGTTGAGGTTGTCAAACGTCGATCTGTAATGGAATTCACCGACCGAAAACCAAAAAAAAAAAAAGTGGCTTAGGCCAATGCAATTTCCTAACGTTCGTCGGAGAAAACACGGGAAAGAACGTTCTTACAGCAAGTTTGATTGCAACACAGGAACGTTACGGAGAAGCAACGTAAACAGAGTCACGGTTCCAAAGGCGCCAGCCGCAAACCACTCGGGAACGGCTGGAGCAGTAACAGTATCAAACTACTAAACGTACGGACATTCAGACAAAGAGTTCAAAGGAGAACAGAGAGATGATAAATAATACCCGTTGTCTCTGGTTGCAAGGTAACCTTTGGAACAACTACTGCCACGGGTTTGTCATCTTCAAGATTGACAAGAAGGAAAACCTTGTACTGATCGCCGAATTTATTCTGTATATTAACGAGCAGTACTTATTTATTTTTCGCTGCAAGGGATTAAGAGGGAAGAACTCGTAAGAGCATCTCTACCTCCATCCTCGTCTTTATCTTCTCGTAACTTTTAGCCGGTTGTCCTCGAAGATTTCCTTTGAACAATACTCCACCCTGACAGAATTTGTCCAGATGAGGTAAAAACATCTCATTATAACTCGGAAATAGAAAAATTTGCATTGAAGGAAGGGTACTTTTCATTTCCAAGTAAAAAGGTAAAGTGTGTAGAGAAGTGAAATGAAGAAAACCCGATGAGATTTTCGGGAGATTAGAAAGCTCGACAAGGTTTCTTACAAACTCACCTCATACGGTTCCTGGCTCGTCACGAAAAACGTGTCAAACCCGAATACTTGGTCCTTGAGGATATCGATGGTTTGCTTGGGGATCCTCATGGATTCATCCAACTGCTGTGGCTGTTCGCGAAAACTTTATGAACGATTAAAAACAAAACATCACAAAGCAAGAACTGCCCATCTTCACTATTACAGTGCCGGTAGTACTCACGTTAACGCCAGGCAGGGGAGAACCACTGCTAACTTCTAAGTTATCGCCATCCTGTTTTCAAACTCGGAAAAGTACGATACATTCAGAAACAAAAACAAGGACTTCTTCTTTTGAACATGCAAGAAACTCGGATGAATTTAGCTGATTCAACAAAATTTTTGGGATGAAAGCATGTTTCAAAGCCGAAAGGTTTAGCCCGGTATGGAGAATTCCAATCAAACAGGAGTAAAGATTATGTCTCTCGCCATTGAACTGACAAATCTAGTATGCAGTACTCAAGAAAGGTAAAAGAACGAAGGAAGCAATCTCTTCTCACCAAACCGAAAAACAGACTCTTAATCCGAGCTTCAATTTTTCCATTGATGCATTACTTCGAGTAAAAACAGTACCTGAAAGCTGGCTTGAGCTTTGTTTTCAACTTCATTACTCATTGTTTCATCCACAACTGTAGGCTGAGGATTTAAGTCAGTGGTATTCTGTGAAGGAGAATCATCTGCTGAAGCTTCTTTGTCTTCTGCATTTTCCTGCAAGAATTTAAGATATGAACTTAGAGATACCCAAATCTTCAAATGCTAAATTCCGAAATCTTCGATTCATATTTCTTCAAAAAAGAAAACATCCATGACATGGAAACATTACAAATGCCCTGAAGGAGAAGCTGCATTAAAGCTAAAACAAGAACATACCTTGTCGTTATTGCCATCAGGTTCTGTCTGCGTGTCGGTTGCTCTACAAATGACTTCTCTGTTTCTGCAAACACTTAAAAATTCCAAAATCACCGGATTGATAGATCAAGAAATCTCCATAGCCAAACCATGCTCGAAGAGAATGCGACGAAGATGAAACCTGTGAATCCTGAAGAGCTTCAGATTCTTCCTTCGAGGGTTTCTCGTCTGAACGAAATCGAGATGAGAAGTAGCTGCTACGAAAGGCTGAAACTTAATGCCGCAACATAAACTGCATTGCGACAAGATGCCGACACTGCCGCGAAAGCCAGCTGCGAGATTCATGTCCGAAAGCGAAGAGATTCGAAGTTGAAACCTTTAGGTTCTCCGATCAAAACCCAGATTCCATTTCAGCTTTTAGAAAGAAGAATTTTGAAAAATTCTCTTTGATATTTTTTGTTTTGTTTTACAGATTTTTTGGGTGATTAGTCTTGGTGGTTCTTATCGTAGGGGGAAAAAATCTCGAGAGGAGGAGAATTATCCGTTGGAAGAAACTGGAGCTCCTTTCCCAATGCTTTTTAAGCGAGTAATAAAACGCTCTGCAGTTTCCCGACCTAACCGACATGCAGTTCCCTTCTTGATAATCAAAACATCACGCATGTACTCTTGCCACCCCCTGAAGTAGACAAAATTCCAGAAGAACATGTATAAACCATCTAAAACATCATCTTGAGCACAGATAACGTAATATTAAGGATACGAATTGTTGATGAAATTAAGAAAAAAAAAATGAATGTTCGTATAAAAAAAATCTCCAAACAAGTCAATAGATTTCACTACAACAATTACTACAAAGAAACTTTAAACCTGAACAAAATATTACAACGGAGGTTAGTATAAAAACCTTAAAAAGGTGTAATAAAATTTCAAATAACCAATAACAATTTACAATGGTTATAATAAATTGTTCACTACTTGAAGATAATAAATGAGAAACCAAACTCTTAGATCCTTGACAGTTTGACAAAGTGAACTATATATAGAAGTAATAGTAACTTGGAGCAATATCAGCAGGAAACAGCTAAAAGGCTCCGGCCACAAAGAGGATGAACAAGATCAAGAACAAGATCACAACAGCAAAAACCTTGATCATGAGCCACCGGTTTGAGGAAATTCGGTTAAGGTGCCTCAGATGGGCATTATGTGCTCCATCCACATTACCTAATGATTCATCCATATTGTCATCGATTCTGTTCCAGTAAATCATTATGCTTAATCAGCAACCAGATTGTGAAACAAACTTGAATATAGGGAGAATCCTATAAAAAAAAAACACCGAACTTTGTCAAATGTGCTTATATAAAACACTGCAGTTTTTTTCTTTGACAAATAATACTTGAATTTCCCCATGTTACCATAAAAAACTCATGTACTTTTCAAACTCTTTCAGATTCTCTCCATTTGAGAAATTCGACCGGTGATCAAGTTTGGAGAATTTGAAAAGTACAGGGTTTTTTATGGTACTATTTGAAAAGTACAGGGTATTTTTAATGGTACAGTAAGAAAGTTTAGATATGAATTTGCCAGAAAACAAAGTACATTGTATGACACATTTGGCAAAGTTCAACGTTTTTAATGGGATTCTCCTTTGAATATATTAGAGGGGTGAAAGCATGAGAACCTGATAGCTAGTTCTCCCAGTTGTGTGATCATAGTGGCCAGATGTGTGAAGATGCCACTCAGTTCTGTTATGGTGGATTCCGCACTGTGGAGAGCGGTGGAACGACTTTGGGTATAGTTCTCCTGCCTCGAGACCATCTGCTGTAACATGGACATCTCCATTTGCTAGTATGGAGCATTGTCAATGGCGGGTCTTCATCTGGTTTGGCAAGGCATGAGGTATTACAGCATAAATGGCATGTTATTAAAACATAACAAAACAAGCCAAACATGGTGAAGACAAGCAGCAGAATGTAAAATGAGACAGCAAAAAGGACATATAGTGAAAGGGATACCTCAGCTGGTTGATAAGAGCTCCATTATGTGACAGTAATCTGGTAGTATATGGAAGAGAAGCCTAGTCAGATTTCCTGCCCTGAAGGAATCATTTCTAGAACAGCTCACTCGTTTATATAAATTCAAGCTAAGATATATTGAATGCAGTGTTCTCTTGGTCGCTCGCCCTAAGAGTAATCTGAATGGTGCAGGATCTATAATTCAAAAACTACTACAGACAAAGTAGAAAGAGATTATGGGACTAAGGCCTATATTATCAAGTTAAAGTGAGAGAAAAATCGTTCATGTAACATGACGTTAAAAGAAGGAACCCGTTGAAATGACATGACATGCTCTATATTATAGTAACAATGCACTCAAGTAGAGGCAGACAAGTTTCCCGAATCGCAACTTCAAAAACAAAACTCACACTGACTGTTGCAGAACATCAGATGGATTTGATGGACTTGACCATGGAGGAGGCTCAGGCAAAGTTTTTATATCGTGCTGAGGATGACTATCTTTGGATGCATTTTTTGTAGAAAACATTTGTTTCCGATTTTCATGAGCTTTGATGTTATGCAGGACCATAGACAATCTGAATAAGATGATGTAGAAGACAGACAATCAATCAATACTAAGTTGACAATTTACAAGACCGACCTCAGATCTCGTAGTTAATACATCTTGAAGCTGCTTTGTAGTACCCATAAGTCTGGTTTTCAAGTCATTGCAAACAACAGTGGAATGACCAACTATGTCTTCGGAATAGTTCCCATCAGCAATCTCCATGTTTTGAAGGGTTTGCAGATCAGATAGTGCCATATTCAGTCCCGTAACATCGTTCCTTACCAATGCAGTTAATTCCTGTATTTCCACAGTTTGGTCATTGAACATCTATGATTGTTTTGCCATTGCAATTCAGCATAGTTGCAGAGAAACATACTCAGTCAAGCAAAAGACACCATCTGAATCGCAATCACAACAATATCTCCAAATTTTCAAGGCCATACCCATTGTCATCAGCAATATAATTTCCCTTTGTCCTCCCAATAGATGCATACATTAAGTAATCGTCTTCCAGATCCTTTATAGGGGAGTTTTTGAATCACATATACATTATCTTTCATCTTTTTGAAAATCACATGATTGCAAATCTATTTCTTATCTCACAAAGGGTACTACTTTCTACAAGCAAGCTGCCACATCTGTATCTTATCTAACAAACAAATGGACAAATCTTGCTTAAACATTCAACAACCAGGGATGAATTCCACTAACCCTATCGAATTCCCAGATTTTTCCTCGTTTTCTCAGCAACCAAACAACCCAAATGAGATCAAAGATAATGCGAAAAAAAAAGACGAAACGACAACGAGGGAGATCTGAATCATACATTTGGCGAGCCTGGCGATCTTCTGAAACACTTCGTGGATACTTAATCCGATCCGAGAAGCCTTCCTGTTGAATTGGGATCGCGAAGAGCCATGTTTGGAGGATGCGGGGTCATTGTCGGCTCGATGGACGGACGAGATTGATCCGATCTTCTTCAACGTCTGAGACAGTGACCGGAACTCCGCCATCCGATCTCTGCACGGCGACGCCATCGTACGGTCAGTACTGGATCAGCTTGATGAGCTTATTTAGTAGCAAACCGTTCCAGAAAAATGGGGAGATTCATCGTCCACCGGTAACTAGCCAAGGGACCAAAAACAGGAGGAAGAAGAACGATAGAGAACAACGTGTCACGTTTATGTTTCGGAGGGGGACACCTTGCTGTTTGAACTGCGTGTTGTTTTATTATTTAGCAGCCAAAATGCACGACGTGCTGATCCTTCATTAAGCATTGGAATCGGCCTAAAAAAAATAGTAAAACTGGACTTGGGTCCAATATCGGAAAAGTCCAGTATAAGATGACGTGTCAATCTACTAAGAAGAGTGGATTTACCATGTAGATTTTCGGAATCGCATATCAATGTTCAGATTTAAAAATAATATCAATTATAAAGTTTGAATTTTATTTATCAAAAAGTAAAATCTAAATTTTTTATATCAAAATTGAAAAATTCAGATATTTTTATGAGATTTTTCTTTAGAATGATTAACTCTTGTATAATATCACTAAGTATATTTAATTAATGGAATTAAAACTTACTAGTAATAATTTCGCGCGACACGGGGCAGATTAAAAATACATATAATTTTTAAAAATAATCTTATTATTTCAAACTTGTAAACTCTATTGTCTTATATTGAGCAATCGAAGTATTCGATTCCGCTGGTTTTCAATTCGGATAGGATAACAAAGTTTTTGAAATTCAAGTCAGTTCAGTTTAATTTTCTGCGATTCAAAAATGGAATTAAAAGAAGTTTGAAAAAGAATTAGAACCATATGAGCTAGAATTTATTCTACATAAATAAATTTTTACACAATGTATTACATGGAATTCAATTTAAACAAAAAAAGGGAATGATTGGTGGGTGACATAATAATTACAAGTTAAAATAAGCTTAATTACACTTAAGGAGGAAGAAAAAAAAGGTCCCACACCAAAAAAACACACTGAAACCAACGGCCAAGATCCCATATCCGACCACCGGTAAAGCCAAGAACGTGGGAGGGGGAAGAAGAAGACGTCGGACTCGGAGACACAAATACGACGACGTTTTCGGCATACTCTAGTGGGGCTGAGATGGAACAACCACCGTTGGATCTTCGGTTAAGCTTCCTCTGAAGCATTTGTTACATATGAATTAGGGTTCGAGTTTTAACATCATCAAAATTGGTCTAATGTCTATCTCGAGAGATGTGTATTAATATATATTCCACATAATTGTCAATCATTATAGTTTTTCTCTAAACCTGTCATCTTTTTTTTTTCTGTACTTATAAAATTTGTGTATCGTTGCATTTTCTCTATAACTATATAATCTTTATATTTCTACAATATCTCCTTAGTTTTAAGGACATTCCAATTTTCGAAAAGAAAAAGTAGTAGAAAAAAAAATGATTAAATGGGCTTTAATATGGGCCGTTGTCCGGCAAAACAATGTTAAGGCCCAATATGTTTTCCTTTGAGGCCCAAAAAATATCTTAAAAATTACCCAAAAAAAAAGAGAGAGAAGGAAAACATAAGCAGCAGTAATTTTTGAAGGGCTTTTCCTGGAGAAGAAGCGAACTCTGTGTTGCAAGGAAACACGAGATCGGGGAGTTTAAGCTGATTCTCCTCGGCGAAATCCGAATCTTGTCGGAGACTCTGATTTTCCGACAATGGACGTGATAAAGACGCAGCAAATATCGGCGAGAACGATCGAGAAGGTGATTGTTCATCCACTCGTCTTGCTCAGCATCGTCGACCACTACAACCGCGTCGCCAAGGACACGCGCAAGCGCGTCGTCGGCGTTTTGCTCGGAACCAGCTTCCGCGGTACCGTCGATGTCACCAACAGCTACGCAGGTGTGCCCTAGCTATCTCCTTTTCTCCTGTTGTGTCAGATCTCTGAATCTGTTCGCGTTTTGTTTTCAAAGGAATTTGGTGTTTTGGGACCTTTTTGTTTGGCATTTCCTTCGGGTTTTCTCGTTTCTAGGGTGTATTCGTATTGGGTTTTGTCAGGTAGAATTTTGTAGTTGGCATAAATTTAGGGTTTTGGTTGCAGAATTGTGTTGATGTTTGACATTGTGTTACTGTTATATATTTGCTAGTTATTTAACTTCCCCGTTAGGTTTTCAGATTCATTCAAGCTTGGTTAAAACATGATATCTTAGTTAAAGTGTTGTCGATTTAGGGTTTCATTTTAGAATGCAATGTTCATTTCTCTGGACATTTTGTCACGAGGGACCATTTCATTAAGATACCAGTTGCTTACACATGACTTGTGTCATTTACAGTGCCCTTTGAGGAGGACGACAAAGATCCAAGCATTTGGTTCCTTGATCACAACTACCATGAGTCGATGTTCCATATGTTCAAGAGAATCAATGGTATTGCTCGTGACAAATGCTACCTAGATTTCTTTTCCTATGCAGGTAATCCCGTTTTTAAATGAGCTAAATATTTGCTTTCAGCGAAGGAGCATGTTGTGGGTTGGTACAGCACTGGTCCTAAACTTCGAGAGAATGATTTGGATGTTCATGCATTGTTTAACAAGTAAGACATCAGCTAAGTTCGTTATGACATTACTCTGAATCATCAGTCGGTCTGGTCTTTGTCTATTCCGTCGATGGTCTGGTGGTCTGTCTAGCGCTCATGCTATTATTTGCAGAGAGCAGTCTCTCTCTCTCTCTCTCTGTCTTTTTCATTTTATATTGGAGCTTGTACTTAAATCCTAGTTTAAGCTTTTGTTTCTGGTGCTGCAGCTATGTTCCAAATCCTGTGTTGGTCATAATTGATGTCCAACCTAAAGAACTTGGGATACCTACAAAAGCATACTACGCAGTTGAAGAGGTGAAAGAGGTAATAATACAAGCTCTTTCTAACTTTGTCATCTATCTAATCAATTCTTGTTTGTATCCATATCTTTTATGAACTTGTCAAATACTTATATCATGCGTATACAGAATGCTACCCAGAAAAGCCAGAAAGTCTTCATCCACATTCCTACAGAAATTGCTGCTCACGAAGTTGAAGAAATCGGTATGTCTACAGGGGGAAAAACAGATCTTACGGCGGTTTGGTTTCCTTGTATTGGTGTATGTAGGATTGACTACCTTTTCTGTAATTGGTCAGCTCACTTCCTTGTGCCTAATTTTGTTGTATGTTTATTTTTCTGAAAGGTGTGGAACATTTGCTCAGGGATGTAAAAGACACAACTATCAGCACCCTTGCAACTGAGGTTCTCGCCTTTGGATCGCTCAATTCTTCACTTTTGTACCATTCCTTATACTTGACTGAACGGTGATGGGTGGTTTTGGGAGAAGTTTGATTGATGTTATCGAGAAAATGGTATACTAACATCCTACCTTTCTGCTTGTGGAAACTAAAATTATCTGTGTGTTCTACTCCAGGTGACTGCAAAACTTACTGCTTTGAAGGGGCTGGACGCACGTCTTAGGGAGATCAGGAGTTACCTCGACCTTGTCATCGAAGGAAAGATCCCACTAAACCATGAGATTTTATACCATTTGCAGGTTTGATTTCATATAACTTGTGGATGTGTTTTAATACCTTTTGAATGATTAAACTCTTTCCACCCTAGAAACAGTTGGTTCTATTGTATTTTTTGGAAGTTGACAAGGGCTATGTGAAGCTAATATATATGTTAATCATTCCTTTTCTATGCTGCTGCTATTGAGGATTTTCATCTTATGGCTATATTCTTCTGATAATTGTAGGACATATTCAACTTGCTTCCTAACCTGAATGTGAACGAGCTGGTGAAGGCTTTCGCAGGTGAGCTTCTGCCTTCAAAATTCTTTAAGCATATCTTTTCTTGTGGTGTTTTTTAAACGGGTTTTCATCATAATCTTCATTATTCGCAGTGAAAACAAACGACATGATGTTGGTGATCTACCTTTCTTCGCTCATCCGAAGTGTAATTGCCCTCCACAACTTGATCAGCAACAAGGTTAGATGAGTGACTAATCATTATGTGTTTTTGTTCTGAATCTATAATATAAATGCTACTCTGCTCAAACCTGTTTCTGGTGGGCATGCCTTATCTCGCGGATACTCTCTTTAATCCTTTTTTTTTTTCTGATTGTTATCCCCGGACATATCGGGTTTGCATTATTACAATTTTCTCCCTCTGTGAATCTTAACCTCCAAATGTTATGTTTCAGCTGCTGAACAAGGAACACGAAAAAGCTGAGGACTTGAAACCTGTTTCAATACCTGCAACAAGTGGGAACTAAATAACAATGGTGCTTGCACCTCGGATGTTCTGATCTGATCTGGGTCTGTCGGGTTTCCAGTTCATCTGTGAGCTTACTCGTTACCCCCTTTACAATTGCTACCTGTGTTCGGAAAAAGAAAAGGGACAAGCTCGGACAAACAGGCATGACCCAGTCCCAGTTAGTTGTTCACTTCGGCATCCTGTCTCAGTTTTTTACTGTTTTGTTGCGGTAATTGTTTACTCTGATCTTACTGTCTCGAGATTCGGGGTTAGTCTAGGCCGATCTCAGGTGCAAAGTTTCAGATCAGATCATGTTATGTGAACACATTTGAACTGTTTTGATACGGTCAGACATCAGTACAGTAGCTTAAAGGGAAAAGCATCTTATCGGTTTGCTTTAAGACCGGACAGGAAGCAATGACGACAAGCTAAGCCTTGTGCCTGCCTGCATTCATGGCTCTTGTCTCTTTACACAAAAAAACCACTTTTGTTTGGTTGCATGATGGAATGCCTTCAAGTACAAAAGCTTTTATGATTAAAAAAATGTTATTATGTTCTGCTCATACCCCATGTTGGATGTTCCCATCCCAAGAGTACATGATTCTTGATCAAATATTTTATACAAATTCTACTAAATATAATACCGCATTATATAACAAATCTTGACATTGTATCACATTTTGATTCCTTTTAATGAAGGTTATTGTTTTTACATAGAATATTCTATTGTATTTTGCTATATATTATGATGTATTCTTCCCATTATCAATAATATAGAAAAACATTTTCCCTATTAATTATGATTACTTGTATTGGAAATCTATATTCATTTCATATTGTTTAGTTTTGCATTCATGTAAAACCAATGGCGAAAGACACCATGGCCTAGAGATGTCATGGTATCAGTTTTAAAAGGAATTAAAAGCATTGGCGCCTCCAAATCTTGGGGCTCCATCATTGATGACATGACTTATATTTATAAAAAAACTTTAATTTTTTTTTGTAATTAAAGAGCAAATAATTGCGTCATGGATTAGGTCTCCTTTCTTGAACTCTTGTCATTTGAAAAGGAATTAAAAGCAGGAAAAAAGAAAGAAAGAAAAAGGGTATTTGAATGAAAATAAAGCTAATCAAATGGCGTAAGCTTCGCAAGAAAAGATATAATGATGATGATGAAATATTTTAACTTATATTATATAAATATCATACGTTTTGTTCGTTTACATAAAATAAGACGATTATATTTATAATTTTGCTCATTATTATGAATAGGTTGCAAATTTATCTTTAATAATTTTGAAGTTCAACGGGTATTTAAATTCGGATGAATACTTTTTTTTTACATATAAATTTAAATTCGGGTAAAAACTTGGGTTGTATATCATCTAAACTTGGATTTTTGATTGAGTAGTTGTATATATTATTTTTAAAATCCACGTGGAAAAAAGTGTTCTAAAAAGTCGTATGAACATTTGCAATTAATAATGGTGTAAAAATGAAAGTATGACGTAAGCATGCATTCATTCAATAAAGCGTTCCGATTCGAGCCGCGGAGAACCAAAGCAAAAGCGTAATTTTAAAAAAAAGGGCAAAAAATTGAACAATCTGATTATTTTAGATATTTTGATAACTAATGTACGTGACACTAAATTATTATTATTATTATTATTATTATTATTATTATTATTATTATTATTATTATTATTATTATTATTATTATTATTATTATTATTATTATTATTATTATGTTTCTTATTATTATTATTATTATTATTATTATTATTATTATTATTATTATTATTATGTTTCTTTCTCCGCATGATCAGTCGTTATTTGGTCATAGTTTTTTTTTGGTCAAAAAAATGGAAATTGGTCAGTGAAAATTTGGTCATAGTTTGATCTTCGTCCGGCCAAATCATGGTCACGGTCTTTGGCTATAATGTAGAGCATTTTAGGTACCATTTGAATTAATTGGGTAATGAATGGTTATCCAGATTCGGAAAAAAAAAAGAATGGTTATCCAGATATGCATATGAGTAAATTATCGAGTAAATACTGTAAATTTCATAAAAAAAAGTGAGAAACGTAAAGGTATTAGGCATATATATATATATGCTGAAAGAATTTTCATATACTAATAATTTTGTCACCGAGATATATGTGATATAATATATATGTATATAGACATGTATACATTGGAAATTATATGCATATATGGAATTCATAAAGCTTGTCTTTTTGCTAGATTTTTAGGATAGTATATATATCTATTGTCCATGAGAACCAAATCTTAAACTCCCTACCCCAAATATAATTCACCAAATAAAAAGTAATTAGAATCTAGCTCTAGTTTTTTTTTTTTTTGATAATTTAAAAATTCCGAATTAATTATATCTCCCAAACAATTGAAAAATATAGGTGAATATCCCTATTTAAATTCAAATAGAGATACGAATTTAAATTGGAAAGGAATTTTACCAATGAACCATCCAATCTTAATAATCTATCTCTAGCTATATATATATATATATATTGAAATGAAATGCATCACGAACTACCCCATTCATCTGTACATGGGGTCATCATAGTATATAGAGAGACCTTTCATTGATTTTATTCAAAACAGGATATACCTTAATGTCCAATTAATAATACACATATGACTAAACCATATGATAATATATATTATATATGAGATTACATTCGGTGGTGAAAGAATTTTATCTTCTCCCACCGACCGACAAAACCTATTATCTTTGTGTTTACATTTGCATGAAAGTGATATTTAGGGTTTTGATTCTCACGACTAAGCTTACTACTTTTGTGATTTTTAAACAAGGGCAAAGGCTTTTTGGGTTTGGTCGGAAAGAGAAAATATCACAAAGGAATATTTTATTTTTCTTTTTATACAACAAATAAATAAATAAAAGCAGTACCCTCCTCTGATATATTTTTTTTTTTAATTTGAAAAGTAAAAGCTTCAAACGTGTACACAGATTTGCCCAGGATTTATTTCCAAAAAAAAATATATATTTTGAAACTGCGTTTATAAAACGTATATTAGGTGTAAATAGTTGAAAATTGAATATTTTCCAATTTAGGATATATACAGATATCAGCTTCTTGTTGCAAATCATATGCTATTTATCAAATACACACGGACCAAATATATTATTTATTCCTTCGGCTATTTTCTTTGTTTCGAAAAAAAAAACATATTTTTGTTATTTAATTAATTTGATTTAAAAAATGATATAAATCTATTTTTTAAAATCTATATTACTTAGTTTGATTCAGTTCCATCTCTATCCCAAACAGTGAAAAATATTATATTTATTAAAAAAAAAAGCTTATAAACTATACTACATTTGTCACCACTATCTAAAGACAACTTAAACTAATTTTCTTTTTCCACAGAATTTTAAAATGATGCTAATATTATTTTGGGAAAGGTTGGCGTCACAAGAGAAAAAGAATGCGATTCTTTGGTCACAAGTGGAATTCAGACTAAGCTTCGGTTATACTGTCACTGTGTTCATAATTGGGCAGCCCACTGCTGAGCGGATCCGGTGAAAGATCCCACCATAAATGTGTATTGCAGACAAATCTTACCTTAGGCTGCTTCCATTTCCATGACTCAAATCCGTGACTTCTAGGTCACAACGACAACACCTTAACCGATGTACCAAGGTTGTCTTCGTCATTGTGTTCATAATTATGTAAAAAAATATATACTCGCATATACATACATATATACACTCACGCATTCATGTCATCATTATAGTTTCTGTATTGTAAAAAGAAACCGTGGTTTTGACAACTGTTGAAGTTAAACCACACACAGTTAAAAAAAAAAAAAACAAACACAAAACACAAACTGGGTTGTGGCATTTGATGCGTAATTACAGTTACAAGCTTAGATTTTATCTCTTCCTCAGAACACCGAGTTTCTGGATTTGATGTTACTGTAAGCTCCAGATCCGTAGGATATTTGTCCGGAGAACTTGATTCCGTCCAAAAAAGCTGCTTCGTATGGAGACAATGACGGCGGAAACAGAGACGACTGACCGAGAAATGTAACGTTCTCTGCCCCCATATCTCTGAAAACCACCGATTTCTCCTGAGTTTGGGGAAGAAATCCGTCTGGGAACGGACGGTTCTGATCGCAGCTTGAGTTTGCGTTTAGAAGATTAACGGTCGTGATGTCGTGGATGCTCGGTCGGCGTTTGTCTTTAGCACCAGAGAGTTGTCTCTGGTAATACTTCTGAGCATGACTTGCCACCTGTGTCGGCGTCTTGGACACCACGAAGTTTCTCGATATGTTCCTCCAGTCGCCTTTCCCGTACTTGAGAAGCCCTAACAAGAATCTCCTGAAAGAAATAGAATCCTTTAGGATAACTTGTTGCCCAAGGAACCTAAGACTGATGTTATCAGAACCTGAAGACCGTATATATCCCTCACCTGTGTTCTTCTTCAGTCCAAGGGACACCTTTCTTTCTCTCCTGTTCGGTTCCTCTGCTTCCGTTGGCTCGTTTTCTATACGACTCCAAATCACGATAACTCACAGCCTGATCGAATCTACAGGAGGATAGAGGGTAACCCGGGATCGGTATTCTCCCAGATTCGATATCGGATACGTCTTCTTCGAGCCTGATGTATTGATTCATCACATCAGAAACTGTCTTCCCAGGAATCACGGAAGCGATTTTGAACCAGCGGTCAGGCGTGTCTTCCACGTGAACGGCGAGTGCTCTCTCGAACTTCTTGTTCTCTTCTTTTGTCCATGTCGTGTCTCTGTTCATCATCTCTTGAGCGAACCCTTCAGACACGGCAGAGTCTCCCTATGCTTAAGGAGCAAGAAAGTTTCAGTACAGACACAGATCGAGTAAGCTCATGTTCTGGTGGTTTAGAAAGACAAAAGCTTTTATAGGAATGGAAATGATAATTATACAGGAATCTGAAGAAGAAGAAGAAGAAGAAGGAGAAAAAGGAAATTCAGAGAATCGTATGCCGAAAGGAATCAAGAATCATTGCTTTGGTTAAGATTGGCATAAAACGAAGAATCCGAGAAAAAAAAGACTCCACCTTTGAAAGAATCCCAGAGAATCTGCAAAGGGAGAACAAAATCTGAAGCTTTTGAGCAGAAACCAGAGGAGACAAGCGAGACCCAGATGAGAATTCTCGGGAAAATCCAGAATTAGCAATTGAATTGGAGACCCAGAAGAGAGAGAATTCAAGGAAGAAGATGACATCGAGAGGAAGGAGAAGAAGAGGCTGTGTTTTATGAGGCGTCTCAGAGAGCTCTGTAGATTTTTGTTTTTGGAGATAGAAAAAAAAAAGGCACTTTGGAGGAATTTTGGCCGATTAGGAATGGAGAAAGCGAATACGACGATTCACTCTCTCACTCAGCTACTTGCTCAATTTCTGGAAAAAAAAGGTTCCATTAATAATAATAATTATAATTATTATTATTACTATACAAATAAATAAATAAACATACATTATTGTACAGTACGGCAATTTATTTTTTCGTCGTTTTCTGGTCACAAACAGTGCAATAAGGACAACAAAAGCGACAATTTTTTTTCCCGAAAAAAAACCAATTTATTTAAATTGATATAACATGAATATTGAACCGACTTAATTGTCAAAATTTTACGACGTTTTAAAAATTCTTTTTTTTTTTCTTTTGCTCGTTTTGCCGCCTTGTTGAAACATTCTAGATGAAAGAATTTGAAAGATTGAACAGTAAATCATTATGTCTTTGTCCGTATTATATATTTTTACGTTTCGAACAATCGATGTAAATAAAAATTTTGGGATATTTGGAAATAACATTGATTAATTTTGACGACCACAATAATGGAACACATGAATATCTTCCAACATGTATGCATGTATAGCCATCTCAAATTTTTAGAAGTTTCGTATTAAAATAAATATTAAATTCCGAAAATTATATATAAATAAAATACGCTATTCCAAAATTAGTTCTTCAGTTACCATAGTTACTTTTAGGACATCCTATACGGGTGCGTATATTTATATATATATATATCGATAGAATATAGATATCTTCAATTTTTGGGATAAGATCAAGAGCGAACCTACATGTCTTAGTATGGGGTCACGTGCCCCATTCACCTAATTAAAAATTTTTATTTACTTTATAAAATTTGTAAAATTTTGAATAAAGTTATTAAATGCCCCATAAAATGAAATTTGTCCGTACTAAAATTGAATTTGCCCTTAATTGTATATTTGTCTAAAATAATTTTTCTATATTTAAACAAAATGTCAAAACCGTGTGAAGCCCGCGGAAAAAGTCGGCGACAAGAATATTTACTTTATTGCGTTCACTATGAAATCGTTTTCTTTGGTAATTTAATTTTGAAATCCTTTTATAACTCATACTGCTATAAGAATAATATTTTTTTTATAATTTATCCGAATGTGATTTGGAAGAATGTGGTGAATAACTTTTGTGAATTTTTGTTTATAGGAATATCACAATTAAACAACGGTAAAGATATACATATAATTTGTGGGCATATATCGACAAAATGAATTAGCAAATTTTTTTGTTATTAAGATGATGAAAAACAATGATAATTTTTTATAATTATCTATTAAAAAATATCATTTAAATTCATGTAAAGTATGAGGTTGGTCTTAATTTTATTATTTGTCACCTACCACAAAATGCCTACTCTTTCATCCGGATTTAGACTGAATAGACCAAAACCTAGACTCACATGAAAACTAATCGTTAGCAACGATTTCAAATTGTTGCAAATCTCAAAAGATTTCATCCAAAATCGAAATAAATAAAAACGAAAAATTGATATGATCGATCTAAAATATAAATACGGAGTTAAAACGATGTTGATGTTGATGATGTTGATCTATTAAAAAAAAGTATATGCAAATACCCGATTTTAAAAATCATGTTAGCCAGATTCAGATTCAGATTTACCGATATTCACAAATTGGGATTCGAATGAATGCAAATATGCGTGGATACCCGATTTTCGGACAATTTTACCTGTGTCCTACCTTAAAAGTTCAGGGACTTATGGTGGGACCACCAGACTGAAGTCTCTGCAACCAAGCAACTCTTAAACATGGCTTCCTCAGCTGCAAGAAGATCTCTCTGTACTCTTTCTTGAGGAACATGTCCAATGCAAACAAGTAGAGATCACTCCCTTGCTCCACCTCTTCCATTGCATCAAGACATTCTATGCATTCCCCGATCGTATACCCGGGCTCTCCTGATGCCATCCGGACGCTGACTGGACTCTCGTGAACATTGCTCCTCGACTCTACAGCCTCGGATCTCTGGTTCTGGTTCACTTCCCTGTCTATGGGAATGGCTACACCTTCTCGCAACCGAGATTCTTGAAAACAGATGCTTATCCTCGGGCGGATAGTGGGGAAAATTTCGATTTCATCTCCATCTGGACTCGTTATGGCTGCCTCGTTCGTTTGCAGGATCGATAATGGAGTTGGGTCATGGAAATTGAGTGTTTCAGACCGTTTCCTCTTCCGCCGAGGAGGAGAGTATGGAGCTCCGGGTTCTATGATTCCATGGAAGATGATTGCCAGTTTGTCAGGATGAGGAATTTGCTTGTTTCTGAATTGTGATGCTCTTGGGTTCACCTGTTACAAAAAAAAAACGACATGGGAAACTTGTAAAAGAGGGTTCTGATTGGGAATTAGTTGATGAAGCTCTTTTAGCATACCCGTAAATAGCTTCGCCACTCCTCGTCTGTGGCACCAAATGTACGAGAATCCGGATCCCATTTCAGGCTACTTATGCCGACAAGTTGACACCAGATTTTCCACGATTTCCTCGTGCAATCCCAGTGGTTTTTCAACTGCGCTCTCGTATAACCTAACCCGGTCTTGTCATTGATCGTCTCGAGAATCGTCTTCCATCCCTCCTTGGTCAAGTGTGAATCGGGTCTGTTCCCTTTTAGAGTCTCTTGTACCAAAAGATCAAGAAACAACTCGTGTGTGGACGGTGACCAATAGCCTTTTGGTTGCGGGGTCGATGACTTAGACATGCTTTGCCTATCTTCATCTCCGGTATCACGATCTTCCTCATGTCGGCTACTCGCCCTCTTGCTCATTCCCACAACCTCATCATCTATGGCATCTACCTCATTACCCGAAAAGATAATTTCGAGTTTCTCGAGGTACTGTGGAGGACACATCCGATACTGCCCAGCCTCGGGATTATCCTGTCACAGAACCAAAGCATGTTAGCCTTAATAACACCAAATTCACATAAGATTTAACAATGGCTGGATTGATCAGTCATTCATTCCTCTTTGTACCTACCTGTACATAATTGATCCAATCTTCATCGCTGGCACCAAACGTGTTTGTCTCCGGATCCCAGTTCATATAACTGCATTGAACAAGTCTAGACCATACTTTCCACTGCCTTCCCATAGTATCCCAATGATTTTTAAGCTGCATTCTATCGTATTTGGAACCCGTCTTCTCCTGAAAAGATTCCAATATATTCCTCCAACCCTCTTTAGTGAAATGTGTTCCGGGTTTATTCCCTAGCGTCTTTTGCTCGATGCATAAATCCACGAATATTTTGTGAAAATCAGGATCCCATACCGCCTTAGACCTCATTATCTTTTACTTCGATTCCTCCAGCTCCAAACACACTACAGGTAAGTAGTTCAAGAATCAGTATCCTATGAAAGAAAAAGACGAACTCAATACATGACAGAACCTCGTATCAAGTTTGCATGTCCTTATCTATATAAGTATACAACCGCATTTTCGTCCGAAAACTTAGGATCAGGCGCTCGAGAATAATAAACAGAACAATGCAAACAATGGAAATCAACCTCAGAATCATATCAGTGTCGGAATAAATGAAGTGAACATACATAACTAATGAGACATATCGGATGGTGTCTTAATATCCGAGCACAGGCAGGCATGAGCTTGAATTCATGCAAGTAACATACTTATATACATGGATGCATGGCACAAATATGTACACAATAACCTCATCATACACCATGCATATACATGATCCGAACAATCGTAGATGCATGCATACATATCTATACACAGACAGGTACACACAAGTAAAAGCACATATACACATTGATTGATGCATAAAACCCATATGTTCTAACAAATTCATGTAACCAAGCAAACACAAGTGAATATATACAAACGAACACATATTCATAAACGCATAAACTGCAGAGGAGCAGAACATTTTCAAAAGACTAGGAATTATGGAAACGGAGAGGAGAAGCAAAGAGAGCTGACCAGAGCAGATAGTAAATGCTCTTCTTTATTCCGACAATGTACGAGATTTAGGGCTTAGCGTACACAAACGGACAGGAAAAACCAGTAAACGTAGTCGCAATCACAGGAAGTTCCAGACAAACGGGAGAAAACCCCATGAGTACCGTCGAAATCTCCCAGAAACGGGAATCGCGTGAAACCCTAATCGGTGGGATAAGTGCTACGACAATGGAGGGTATAGAAAATGGAAAATGGACGCCGAGGAAGATGAACAGGAGAAAGAGAGAAATCAGAACGGGAATATGAAAACGTTACCGGGAAAGGCGCGACAGCGTTTGGGGGCACGAAGAGAGGGAAGTATGCGTCGGTGTCTGCAGAAGCCGATCGCGATTTTCCTCGCTCTCTCCCTCTTTCCTGCGTTTGCGATAGTGGGCTGAGATGGGCCGTACGGAATTAGGCCCATATATATCGATTTGGGTCGCAGCAACGTAATAAAACCGAGGGAGGAGGCATAACTGTGAATAATTTGAAAACCGGAGGGTAAAATGGACAGAGCAGAACAAAATAAAACCTAAAACCGGGAAAACGCATGTGATTGTCGCTTTTCTTTTGGTTGAACCGATAGTATATGCAAAGCTGTAATAATGTGGATATCGATATTTATATGTTCCTCTATCCCAACAGTATCACGAGAATCAAGACGAAAAAAAGGCAACATTTACTTTACTGGTTATAGAATCTACATGGACTTCTAATTTAATATTTTCACTAATGAATGTTCTATGACATGTAGCATGCTTCTTAAATTATTATTATTATTATTATTATTATTATTAATAGGAGGATGTTAAGTTGAAACTGATATTATTTAATATTGTTAAGTTGAACAAAAGTACTAACGAATTGAGATTGGATATTAGATGAGATGTCCGTAAAAATATGGTTGGATTCGATTCAGAATTTTTTTGTTAAAGAAATGGTTTCCGCGGTTATTTAAATATATTATGAAAATATTTTTTTATTTTAAACTTTCTATAAATTATATTTTCATAAACAAAGTTTAAGATAAAATTATTTTTTAATAAATATAAGTGTTTGATTGCAATTAAATACAATTTAGAAATGTTAAAAATTTATAGTTTCCTCTGTTTCTATATAACTTTATACAACAAATTGTTGATGAAATCCACATCTTTATATATATAATATACGTTATTTAGATATGTATTAAAATATATATATTTGTCATATGACCACAAGTACCGAAATCAAAGCTAAACTAGCTTTGCTGATAATAATAATAATAATAATAATAATAATAATAATAATAATAATAACTAAAAAAATATCATATAAATATCTAAATTTTTATGAAAATTTCAAATAAATATCTGAACTATAAAACTTCCATATAAATATCTGAATTATTAAAAATTTTATATAAATACCTATATTTTTGAAAAAAATCAAATAAATACAAATTTTAGATATTTTTTAAATAAAAATAGGTGATGTTATTAACTGATTTTTAATTTATTTGGGAGTATTTTAAAAATTAAGGTATTTATATAGGATTTTAGAAACATTTAAGTATTTATATAAAAAAAATTTTAATTCAGGTATGTTTAGGATTTTTGTAAAAGTTTAGGTAATAATAATAATAATAATAATAATAAGAATAATAATAATAATAATAATAATTGGAAATCAGTGAAAAAATGTTTACTAAAATGATGAAAGATGTTTCCCGTGATGGGTCGATCTCCAAGATGGGAAATTCTCTCGTCATTGGGGAACAAGTCCCCTTATATTCCGTTTATTATTTTCTTTTCATTTACTCGGGTATTTGTTTTCGTTTGTCTTTATATCTTTTCCTTTTAACAAATAAAGAAAATAATTAGAAAAACATAAAATATTTTTAAAAAAAGTTTCACATATATAATATTTTTATATTATAAAAAACGATTAAAAATAATTGAATCCAATATGTGGACATGTATGATCGATTATTATTATTTAAAAAAAGCCACCTTTTTAACATTTCCACTTGAAGCATGTCACAATTTCACAAAAAAGGAAATCAGTCAATATTAAAATCATGATTACAACTATAATATCCACAAGAAATGTCTAGGAAGAATCAAATCCAAAGTACAAATTAATTTGTGACAAAAGAACAAAAACAATGATTTAAAAAAACTAATTTAAAACGAGTTTCGCTTAAGGCGTGAAGATGGAACAATTCGAGTCATGTTTTTAATGCAATTCCTCCTTGTCCTTATTCTCTCTCTCTCTCTCTCTCTTGCAGGCACTTGCATGATAAAGCTTCCATCTTTATAGACCTTCCTTCTCCGGCCAGAATCCTTCGCCATGGCCTCCATTCCATCTCCTTCTTATTCTCCTTCAATCTTCTTGTCGTCTCTCTCTCTCCTTATCAATGTCTCATTCGCTGAAAACGGCGCCAACTCCACGGCGGTTGTCGTGACGACAAACCCAAACTCTCCGCCGCCGTTTCCGCCGCCGCGTCCGAGCTTGTCGTCGTTCAAGCCGAGCATCGCCGTCGTCGTCGGGGTCCTAACCACCGTATTCTCTCTCACGTTCTTGTTGCTCCTCTACGCCAAACACTGCAAACGCCGAAACGGCGCCGTTTACGTCCACCACCGCCACCACCATAACCACCACCGGTTCGACGGGAGGAAGAACTCTGGTATTGACCGAACCGTGATCGAGTCGCTTCCGGTTTTCCGGTTCGGAGCCCTTAGCGGCGACAAGGAAGGGCTCGAGTGCGCCGTCTGTCTCGCCCGGTTCGAGCCGACCGAAGTCCTCAGGCTCCTTCCCAAATGCAAGCACGCCTTCCACGTGGAGTGCGTCGACACGTGGCTCGATGCCCACTCCACTTGCCCGCTTTGCCGGTACCGGGTCGACCCGGAAGACATCCTCTTGATCGGCGACTGCAACCCCTGGTTCGAAATCCGGTTATCTCACCGCGAGGAAGACGATCACGTGCCCACGAACAGCGCCACTGGGTCAGAGCTACCCGCCGGGGTCAATCCGGGTTTCTGGGTCCGACGGATCTCGGGTCGGCATTCATCGGCAGGCGAGCAAGCGAGTCGAGTCAACGAGTCGGCTCACCGGACCTCGTGTAGAAGGTCATTGGACAGCTCTCTGAGAAACGATGGCGACACAGTGATCATCGGATGCTTCGATCGGGCCCAGAGAAAAGACGGGATGTTACTCCCCGACGGCGCGATCACCGACCGGAAAAGCTTCGAGCGGCGGTTCGGGCACCGAATAGTCATATCCACCGCCGGAGGGCAGAGCCAGAGGGACCAGAGGTGGAGCGACGTGGTCAGACCGTCGGATCTTCTGTATCTCCGGTCAGAGATGATAATGAGTGAGAGCCGGAAGACGGCGGAGGAGGGTGGCAGAGTTGTAAATAACGGGAGAAGTGTGTCGGAGTTAACAAGCGTGGATAGGACATGGAGGAGAGAGAACGACGACAGCAGCCATAGCCATCGACGACAACGACAAGCCGCGGCGGTCGTTTCGAGGGGGCTCG